TCCTTATGAATGTAATAGCCAAAAAATGATTTTTGTATCTGTAATATAAACGCATATTATATACATCATGAGTTTGGGACGAGTTATTGTAAGAGATGAAATAATAAGTACATATGAATTATAACCAGATACTAGATTTTGATCCGCGCTTGAGAAGCGCGGATTTTATTTTGGTTGTAAAAAAATGTATCAAATGATTCTATTTTTATTATATGATAGTTTTATATGTGAAATTTGAGGTATATTTAACGTTTTAGTAGGATCTTTTCATTGAGTTTTGCATAACCGAGTCAGTTTGTGGTCGAACAGAGAATCAAAAAAATAAGTATTGTGAGAGTATGACAAATTAAAACACATATTACATTTTGACCCGCGCTAAGATGGGTCCATGGCCGAGACACTGAAACACATATCAGATTTTGACCCGCGATACTTATGCTGAGTTGATCTGCATGATCCACCAGCGGCAGACACACTGAAACGATCAATGTTCCTCCATACTCCAACACGAATATGTTTTGCCAATTCAGGAATGTATGTCTTGTTACACGAGGAATGGATCTTAGTTCCCTACATATAAAAAAAGAAAACATTATCATTTAGGTTAAACTTTTACAAAACAAAGATATCTAATTCATAAATCTATACAAAACGATAAACTTACATTTGCATCACAAAGGATTAGTTCCATGGTCTCCCCTACGTATTTCATGAAATGTCTCTATGTATAAAGGATTTTGACTTGGATGCGACATGAAGTCTTCTTCGGTTTTATATCGCTCAAGAAAGACAACTGAAAATTATTCGTCATTTTTGTTTTAGTTTTTTCAAGGAATGGTGAATATAGTGATTAAGAGAGGCTATATTTATAATAGGTAGGGACGATATAAATTTAGGTTACGCAAATGTAGGGAAGAATATTTAGATGATTTGAAAAATATCTCTTTCGAGGAATAAGGAATATTTTTTGAAGATATTTTGAATTAGTTAAGACATTAAAGTTTAACAGTTAATGGTAATACCACTACGGTAAGTTGCCGAAATTTATGGAATCCAAACAAAGAATAACTAACCACGATATTGATTGTGGTTAATCTATAAACTTGTAGATGAAAAAAATTCTTTATTTTAGTTGGAAGATAATTATAGAAAATAGTTTTTGCAATATTTTCTTAACAAAACGTATCTCGTCCATTAAATGTCACCATGAGAATGATGATATGTCGACATATTTGATATCACTATATGTCGTCTAACTATGGTTTATAAATACGAGTAAATTTAGTGAGACATGAAAACATATTTCATATATGAAGAAAAAACATGAAATGAAGAACATTTGGATGGATTCTCCATTCTCAAATGTCTTAAGATGGAGAAAAAACATGAAATGAAAGACTATCATTTTTTAGTTGTAACAAAATGTATCAAATGATTCGATTTCTATTATATGATAGTTTTATATATGAAATTTGATGTATATTTTACCTTTAGTACGATCTTTTCATTGAGTTTTGCATAACCGAGTCAGTTTGTGATTGAAACGAGAATCAGAAAATTAAGTGTTGTGAGAGTATGAAGAATTAAAACACATATTAGATTGAAACCAAAATTGGATGGGTCCATGACCTATAGTAAATTTGAAAAGTCAATTTTATAGAAAATGCACAAAATTGTATTACAAAGTTGTAGTTAAATCCAATAAATATGTTTTTCAATATATAGTTTGTTTATGATTTTTGAATAATAAAAATAATATCAATTTTGACCCGTGCTTCTTATATAGTTTATTTATGTTAGTTAAAATAATTACATCTATGATTTTGAAGAATAAAAATAATATTCAATTTTGACCCGCGCTTCTTATATAGTTTATTTATGTTACTTAAAATAATTACATCTATGATTTTTGAACAATAAAAATAATATTCAATTTTGACCAGCGTTTAAGAAGGGTACGTATTTTTTTGTTGACCATAAAATAAAATATTAAATTAATTTATGAGAGTCAAAGGTAACTCAAAAATATTTTTTTATGAGAGTCAAAGATAACTCCAAGTATATAAGGAATAATTTAAATATTGCAAGATTCTGGAGTAACAAATGAGAGTATCTCATTTTCTGTTTCAATATGCAGCAAATATAGTTTTTTTTTTTTTAACAAATATAGTATAAATCGATTTTCGTTTATTATATCATATTATATTGATCTGTTTTATACAACAATATGTATTTTTCATATAAATAATTCAGTCAATAAATCGTCAAGAAAAAGCAAATATTATTTAAAATTAAAATTATTGGGTGAAAACAAAACGCGATTTTGATTCAGCCAGGATTAATGCTCGAGAATCATCATTACGCGATTGTCAAAACATAACTAAAAACATTATTTCTAAACAAACATAATCCTAAAACGGATCGATGGAGAATCATCATTACCTCTGCGATTTTGATTCAGCCAAGGTTAGCGATCGAGAATCATCATCACCTCTGCGATTATAAATAAGTTTTATAATTTAGTATTTAATATTATAAGGTGAAAACATTTTTGCTGAAGAAAATAAATACCATTGTTTAAATTCATCTGGCTCTGGTATTTCAGGATTAACAAACATCTGACTTACGTCATAAGCATTTGAGATTTGGACCTCACTTATAATCAAAAATAAATCATAAGCATTTGAGTAATTTCTTTTGCCAATTGAGGAATGTATGTCTTGTTACACGAGGCATAGATCTTACTTCCCTATATAAACATAAAAATTATCATTTAGGTTAAACTTTAACGAAATGAAGATATCTAAATCAAAAATCTATACAAAACGATAAATTTACATTTGCATCAGAAATGATTAGTTCCATGGACTCCCTTAGTCTTTCATGAAATGTCTCCACGTATAAAGGATTTTGACTTGGATGCGACATTAGTCTTCGTTGGTTTTATATCGCTCAAGAAAGACAACTGCAAATTATTCATCATTTTTGTTTTAGGTTTTTGAAGCGATGATAAATATAATGGTTAAGAGAGACTATATTTATAATAGGTAGAGACGATATACAATTAGGTTACGCGAATGTAGGGGAGAATATTTCATACGATGTTTTAAAATATCACTTGCGAGGAATAAGGAATATTTCTTGAAGATTTTGAATTAGTTAGGAAGTTTAAAGTTTAACAGTTAATGGTAATCCAACTACGCTAAGTTACCAAAATTTATGGAATCTACGATATTGATTGTGGTTAATCTATAACTTGTAGGTAAAGCAATTTCTTTATTCTAGTAGGAAGGTAATTATAGAAAACCGTATTTACAATATTTTCTTAACAAAACATATATCGTCCATTAAATGTCAACATGAGAGTGATGATATATCTTTTTGGTTGATATCATTATATGTCGTCTAACTATGGTATATAAATATAAGTTAATTTAGTGAGACATGAAAACAAATTTCATATATGAAGAAAAACATCAAATGAAGGTCCATAACACAATATAAATGAAATGAAAGTTTATAAAGTCCATGTATGATGCATATACCAAAAAATGTCAACCAAAAAAGTATAATGTTGGAAATCTATAGATTGAAATCGTGTAATATAAGATCTATAACACAATATAAATGTATGAAATATAGTATGGTTTATAAATACGGGTAAATTTAGTGAGACTTGAAGACATATTTCATATATGAAGATAGATCATGAAATGAAGGTTTATAACACAATATAAATGAAATGAAGGTGTATATAGTCCATGTATGATGCATATACCAAAAAAGATCAACCAAAAAAGTATAATGTTGGAAATATATAGATTGAAATCGTGTAATATAAGGTGTATAACACAATATAAATGTATGAAATATAGTTTGGAATATAGTTATAAAGTCCATATATGATTTATATACCAAAAAGTCAACCATAGAAGTATAATGCTGAAATTCTATAGATTAAAATCATGTAATATAAGGTGTATAATACAATATAAATGTATGAAATATAGTATGGGATGTGATTTTAAATGTATGTAATTAATGGGAAGAGCGAGAATAATTAATGGAATAAGAGTGAATAATTAATGGTTAGAGTAATTAATGGAAAGAGAGAGAATAATTCGGGTATATGTAATATGTGATATTATTTGTAACAAATCGATATATATATAGATGTAAGGCCGAATACCATTAATGAAGGTGCACACAACTTCTATCAATCGATTTTTCAAGGATGCCTTTACTTTTAATAGTATAGATTACATAATTTTTTTTTTTTTGCTAACCTAGATATTACATAATTAATCCATATAAAACTTGTTATATCCCCCAAAAAGTATTTGTTATTCTTGAAGTGTCGGATAATTTCTAATAAAACCGTTTTTTTATTTTTCAGATGAATAATAAATTAGTATGGATTTGCAGATTTGTGAATTTCAAGGGCTTTATGACAGAAATGACAGTCTTTTGCACTCTATTAATAACCACTATGAACCAAACTAGTTTCTCATAGATTGAATCTTACATCTACTTATTAGTGTGTCTTATCTAAGGCAATGAGGGATACATAAGAAGACATGCCAACTAAGAGCAAATCAGACATTGACTGACAAGATCACAAATCATCAAAACATCGTGCTTGGGCTATTAAATCAGTGATATACTCCATGAAAATCAAAGTATGGAGATGGAAATTCTGAACAACGAGAATACTTTTTCATTCACACAAATAGAAACAGAAAAATAAAATAATAGAATCAAAGCGTTGTGAGGTTCATATTATTCAATACACGATGAAACTTTATACTTTTGAATCATTTTTTTTATCTATATAATTTCTCGACGAATTAGTACATTACATTTCACAAAACTAATATATCAAGAATGATCGAGGGATGAACCAAAGATCTTGGTAGGTAAAAGATTGAAAAGACTTGTTTCGTTGTTGGGACAGTGAGAATGAATCGGACTGTATAACTGTAGACAAGGATCTTTCCCTGCACCATCTTTTATATATACCATCCATAACAGCTATAGCAATTGCAGACTGCAGAGCAGTTAAAAAACAAGTTTGTGCATTTGTCCTTTTACCAACAACTAAATCAAATGAGCAAGCTAGGCTACAAAAATAATCGGACTTACATGCACCAGTGACATTGACATTATTTTCTAGGATTATCAGAGTTACTATCATGACACTGACATTATCACTCAAAATGGAAACAGAGAAGATAAAATAAATGAGCTTGTTTGGTGTTTATTGAAAAAAGAGAGAGAGAGTAGTTTAACACGCACTCTCGTAGATAAGGTAAATGATTAGGTTACACATGATTTTTAAGAAAGGCAATACTGTCCACGTGGTGAGGTGCGACATTGACAAAACATTCATACTGGTCTACGAATCCATAAGAGCGTTGAAACTCTTCACTGTCTCCAACTCCCAGGAGCCTAACTCTTCTGACCTTGTTTGTTCTGACATTGTAGTAGAATATGTAGAAGGGTTCGACCTTGATCGACGTGACCACAGTTGGGACAATAATGATCTCACCAGCTTTATTGGTGCCTTGGAAAGACATTCCGTGGCACGAAACAGACTCCCACGCATCAGAGGGAAACACACATGTCTGCTTTGACCATTCATGTTTCTCGGCGTCTTCTAGTATCCAGAAATCAAAGGGAATGGACCGAGCATGAGGTAGTTTCATAAAAACAGAGGCTAGCTTACCATTGTATTCTAAAAATATGGAATCCTTTCCATGAAACACAACGTCTAAAGGTGCTTGGATAAAACTGACTTTCTCAGATCGAACATCAAAACACATCACAGCTGGATTCTTAACACCAGTGGAGTTATACTTATAACCGCCATAGTAGACAACACCGTTGATGCATACTCCCGCTGATACAGGTATATAAGGAACAGGGGTAGCTTCAATGTCTCTCCAACCTTGACATCCTCCAAGTGTGAACACCTTGTGCAGTAGATGAGGACGACCAGAAGAAGGACCTCTCAAATGCACAGATAATGCTTTGTATTGGCCACCAATGGGATCGTACCCCATGAACTGAGTGGTCGTGGGCAAATTAAAGACTTGCTCCGTGCTAGGGTTACAAACCATCAAACCATTATCAAAGTAAAGACTGAGGAACCCATGGAGAGAAGCGCAATACTCTTGGCTGCCTCGCAATCCCACTGGTAATGCCATCTCAAACCTGGGTGCCAAAGAAGAAGAAGAAGACCCCTCTGGAAACGACAAGACGAAGGTAAGCCTCTCTTCAGGCTTTCTGAATATGCCGTTGCTAAAACAGACTATAAACCGTGGTTGCTCTGCGGAGACAGCGAAGAAAGAGTCCACGAACTCTTGGCTTCGGACGAAGGAACACCACATCTTCGACACGCATCGGAAATTCATGAGGGACTTGGCAGGCAATCTAGTTATTATAGCCATCTTAAGATCATAATGCAGCGAATCTAACTCACTTGGGGTTGTGTCTTTCTCCTCCACTTTGCCAAGGAGTTTCCTCGCCTGCAATCTCGTCACTTTAGCCTTCTTTAGATCAAGAGGCTCCGGATCTCGGTTGCTGCTGAACCTCTCCTTTTCATCGCGCTTGCGTTCCATCCTAATTTGACTCGGACTAAGATCTCGATTGCAGAGGAATCCAGACACACCTCTATATATAACTTTTGTCTCGATTTGATTTTGATTGTCGGCAACTCTCTTAATCTTCCTTTTTCCTTTTTTCCTCCGTTCCCTTTTTTTTTTCCTCTGTTTCCTTTTTTCGTTTTCTTTTGGTTTTAAAGACTTCTTTCTTTACAAAAGAAATATTAATAACTGGACTTTGACCAAAAAAAATAAGTAAAAAAAAGAAAAATCGCATAGATGTTAAAAATAATATATATATATATATATATATATATATATATATATATAATCAAATTGGCTTTTTCTTTCTTTTTTTTTTTTGATCAAATTGGCTTTTTCTTTCTATATAGACAAAAAAACACATGTCTTCGCTACAAAAAGCTCAGGTAATTCTATTTTGTCAAAAGAAAAATTCATGTTGGACGGTTTTACAATTTAAAACCTTATTTGGTGAAAAGTAGCACAACTGTTCAAAGTTGGGAAGCTATATAATTCTGGTGATAATAAATCAGTTGGAGAATAAAGAATGAGATCCGTAATTTTTGAGTTAGGCATTAAAGAGACATAGTAAGAGATTCACGTCGGGCAACAATAGAGATGTAGAAGAAGAAAGAGATTAGATGATAAGAGTCTCACAATAGCAATTCTCTTAAAAGTTATCCAATTTTTATCTTTTTGCCTTGGTTCTTTCTTATATATACACCCAAGGTAGGCCATCTTTCATGATTCGAGTTTATCTCTTTGCGAAAATTTTCCTTATTTTGTTAAGATTCATGTTTATCCTTTAAAACGCGAAAATTTTCCTTATTTTGTAAGATTCATGTTTATCCTTTAAAACATTACACTTATCTTTTAGTCTTGACATTTATCTTCTGTTGTGGTAAAATTCATGTTTCAATCATTCTCTTAAACACAAATTTTATACACAAAACAATCAAAAATAATTTATATATGACATTTTCTGCTCATAACATTTTTGAGAGAGGCGTTTTCTTCTCACAATATTTTTTAAGAATTGTTAATTAAGAACCTTGTAACGAAACACTTAAATGTTTGGGTTTTTTAACCCTGTCTCTTAAATTACTTTTGTACATAAAAGCATTAAAAAATAATAAAATTTTTTAATATGGGTCTTTGCAATAATCATGCTCTAACGTGTGTTCATACGTGTTCCCTTTGATGCTTCTCCATCCGACACGTGCTGCACGTTTGCCTTCATTTGTTTGTCGTAATTTTGACCTAGTATAATCTTCTGTTGTTTTCAATAGTATTTTAAATTTTGAACTTATTTAACTAACATATTAAACTTTAAATATGATTTTTATATTACAAAAAACCTTTAACTTAACTTACTTATTCATCAAGTTAAAATTATGATCTGCTAATTTGCAATAGTATGTGACAGATTGATATATTTTTAATTAACAATAAAATAACAATAAAAGCCTAAATAAAATAAGGAAATTACAGAAAAATCTAAAATTAAATTTAATAATTTTAACACTAAAAATATTTTCTTAAAATTTTAAAATTGTAAATTTTGCAAATTTTTTTTAAATATATAAAGCTATAAAATATTTCACAAAAAATTAAATAATTATAAACATTATCACCATTAACATGAACCCTCTTTGTTATATCATCATTAAGAGCAATTTTTGATTATATCGATAATGACACTTTTAAATACTTAAGAAAATATTTTGATTTTTTGAAAATTAGGATTTTTAAAATTTTTTAAAAAAGATTGGAAATTTTTATTTTAAAAAAACTTCAAATTTTAAGAAATTACACAAAAAAAAATAATTTTAAACATTCTCACCATTAACATGAATAATCTTTGTCATATTATCATTAATGGTAATATTTTTGGTTATATCGCTAATGGCACTTATATTTTTGGTTATATCGCTAATGGCACTTTTAAATATTTACGAAAATATTTTAATTTTAAAAATTAAGATTTTAAAAAAAATTCTGTATTTAAAAAAATATATTTTTTGGAAAAATTGTATTTAAAAAAAACTTCAAATTTTATGAAATTTCACAAAAAAGATTTTAACATAATCACCATTAACATCAATACTCTTTGTCATATCATCATTAACTGTAATAATTTTGGTTATACTGACACTTTCCAATACTTAAAAAAATATTTTTTAAATAAGATTTTTGAAATTTTCGTTTTTTTTTAAATCCATTTTTGCAAAAAAAAAAATATTTTTAAAGAACTCAAATTTTACAAAAAATATTTTGAATTTATTAAATTCAATTTAAGAAAATTTTCAGTAATTTTTTAATTTTTGTTCAGGTTTTAATTGATTTTTGGTTAATTATATTTATTAATTAAAAATAAATATATCACCTAGGTTAACAAATCACAATTTTGACTTGATGAATAAATAAACCAAGTTAAAGACTTTTTGTGATACAAAAATTAGATTGAAGGTTTAATATGCTAATTAAATAAATTTAAGGTTTAAAGTGTTAAGTGAGTGTTACTTTGAAAGTTTTTTTATGCAATTTCCTGTTTAATTTTTTGATTTTTTGTAGCTTGTACTCTTAAATTTTCCGTAGCTTGTACTCTTAAATTTTCCGTAGCTTGTACCCTTACAGTTGCCCATTGGGCTTTAAATGAAATATCAAGGTGGACAAGAAAAATTTAAAGGAAAGCATAAATATAAATGGGAAGAAACTTTAAACTTTAAACTTTAAACCTCTTCTTCTTAATGAAATATCAAGGTTGACAAAAAGAAAATAAAAGAAAGCATAAATATAAATGGGAAGAAACCTTCGTAAACCTCTTCTTCTTCAATCGTTTCTTCTACAGCCGTCGCTGTGCCGAATCTCCGTCCCGTTGCACCGCCACAATAGCTCATTGATTTAAGCATCCCAGACCCACTGTCGCCCGTCTCTGAAAGAGAATCGAAAATCTCAGCCGTCGATGGCTTACAGAGGAGGAAGAGGACGAGGAAGAGGTGGCTTTGGCGTTGAGTATGCAAAGGCTGAACCTTTTCTGATTTTCCCCGTAAGTTCCAGACTTTACGCTTTGATTCATCTCATCTTAAATCTATTGATGATCTTCTTGTTTCAGGACATTACCTTACCTGACCGTAAATCAATCTCAAACGATTACCAATTACTTAAGAGCTTCAGTTCTTTTGAAATGTTCTTGAAAACTTCGGCCTACCACTTAGGCGATGGAGTTTCAAAGAAAGGTGTCTCTTTCTTATTACAAAACATAAATTGTGTTAGACATTGATTTGTAATTTTAAAGGTTTGGCCCCTTTTTTTTTGTTATTCAGAGAGCGAGAATTTAGACATTGAGAGGTTTTCAGACACGTTGAAGCCAAAGAAGATGAAGTCTAATGAGAGGGGATCTTTCTGTGACTTTCTTGTTCTTAGACCTGATAACTTCCCTAAAGAACTTCTTGGAGGTTTGGAACTAATCTTCTTCTTTAGTTTAGGTTCATCTTTTAAGTTACAGTTTGATCGTATGCAATCTTCTCAGATACTCGAAGAGAACGGCCAGTGAAGAGAGCAAGATGGACTCAAGACGCAGGTAACATTGTTGTTTTCATTAGTTTCAACAATCTTTTGCAGCAACAAACAAAAAGTTTATGTTCTGCTTCTGTAGATCTGCAGAAGCTGGAAGTCTTGGAGAAGCTTGAAGCAAAGCTTAAGGTATGACAAACACATTTCACAAAAGCTTGAATAGAATTATATCCGAAATATCCTGGAACTAGAGTTTGAGAATACTTAATCAAAATCTCTTGGTTTCGAAATACTCTTTCCCGTGCTATAAAAACTCATTTAGCTATGGAAGTTTAAATTTTATTCAATATCAAAATCTGTCTACAAAGTATATGAAAACCAAATAACCATAAAACTATTAAAAATAATTAAAATAAACACCGAAATAAATAATAAATTAGATAATTAAGATATTTGGAGTACACAACAAGTCTTACATGATTGATAGTTTTGTTTGGGTTATAGGCTGCTGAAGGGAAGGAAGAGCATGAAGAAGAAGTTGATGAAGTTGAGGAATCTGAGGGAGAAGACTCTGAGAATGGAGATTATGATCAGGTTCTCCTTCTTTTTGGTGATATGATGGAACCTGTCACTCTTCTAACTCTGAAGTTTCTTCTTCTTTTATGATCTTTTTGTAGAATAAAGACTTTGATGATGATGACGACGATTATAACAAGCTGGAAGATAATGATCGTAAGCATCATCTGTACACTCTGACGATTATATGCTTGGAGAAATGATTCTTTCTAACTTTGTTTCTGTCTTATTTTGTCAACAGATGAAGAATTGTATTAGTAAAGCTTCTTCTTCTTCGTCAAAAGACAATAGAGTTGTCCTCAAGCTAACGTGAGAATTCAATTATGTCATCATACAAATAACTTTACACCTCCTAGAACTATGATTTGGTATTAGGGCTTGCCTTTGGCTTTTGTTGCTTTCATTTTTCTTTTCTCTTTTCTGTTTCTTTTGCTCTTAAATCTCATGAGCCTCAATAAAAATGCACGAAGGATTAGTTTTGTTTCTTTCAAATCATAATGGGAACCGAAACTAAAATTACAGAGCTAATTAAGGTCCGAATAAAAAGAGCTATGCGTTGGACTCTTTTTCGTCGAACAACTCTACTTTTATGTGTCTTTTGGTTAAAGTCCTTCGAGATTGTAAATGGCTAGGAACAAATGCTCTTGCAAACCAAAAGGGGACAAAAATTCTCAAATAGACCCATACCTTTCTATTTATTTATTTTTTTTATTTAAATTTAAATAGAAATCTAGGTGAAATTATTAAAAATCTTAAGGACATATGGATATTTACTAATCTATGCCTTTACTATCCTACCAGAATTAGACTCAAAATCCGATCCAGTTTTAATCTTAAACTAGAATTTGATCCGTGCGTCCGCACGGGTGTTTGTTTTCGAATATATACATATATATATATATATATATATATATATATATATATATATATATATATATATATATATATATACATTTTAAAAAGTGTTTTATATTTACACAACAACTAGGTGATTTTCCCGTGCTCATGCACGGGCATGTATATTTATAAAATAAATATACAATAATAATTGACTGATATTTACTTTAATTTTTAAATTAATTTATAGTTTGTATATCTAATTTATATTATAATATTATATTACTTTAATTATATAAATAATTTTAGATATGTTATATTTAGTCTGTTTTATTCTTTTTACGGTGATTTAGTTATCATTTAGATATATTGGATTCTATCTATTTCTCTAAATTCAACTATAATCTTTTATATTTTAAATATATTAAATTTTTGATTAATTTTCCTATTTGCATATATGCTGGTTGTTATTTTAGAAATATAAGTATATTTAGTAAGATTATATATAACTTGAGTTTTTTTTGTGCTTAGAAGGAAAAAAAATAAAAACTAAAGTGTCTGATTCAAATTACATACATAAGTAACTAATGAATTTTTAGAAGATTTTGAACACATATCAATATTTACAATAATTAAAATATTTTATAAATTCTAAATAAATTTATGCTTTAGATAGATTGGATGGTAAACTGAAATTTATTTTAAATAATTTTAAAAATAAGGATTCTGATTTGCTTAAGTATTTTGACTATTGTTATATTAAGTTTCACAAATAAAACAAAAAATTAAAAATCAAAACATTTATTAAGAAAA